TAGCAGCAAGGCAAACTTTAAGATGTGTATCAGAACAATGTGGATAGTATATTCAAATGAACAATGTTTAACTTCCTTCCGTGTTGCCTGCACCCAGAGCTCTGAGCTCATTTAAAGTCAAAACCTTTACCGCTCTCAGTCTGACAGTCGATGGAGGCAGGCAACAGCCCTAGAGCCACGATAGTCTGATCCAGAGGACAAATGAGCGGGGAGCTCTGGGGGCAGGCAGCATGGAGGGAATTAAACATTGTTCATTTACCCATATTGTAACAATACAAAGATGGTTGAAAATCTGCACATTTTCCCTTTAAGACATATGCTAATTTAAGATGTGATATTTCCATAAATTGAGTTACAACAACATGTATCGGTCGCATCCACATTTATGTGGGCAATATTCTGACATTTTAAAATCTATTCTTATACTAATAAATACAGAGAAAGGTAAATTCAGGACCACATACTACCAGTAAATTTTCGGTTTTAGGCTTTACAAACAGACAACAAAAATAAAGTAAAGCCAGGGGTGTATGTACTGTAGCTAGGTAGCTAGCTTGCTATGTAGGAAAATGACATAACGAATCTTAATCCCACCTACAAACCTCTAATTAACAATATAATAAATGGTCCAACTGGGAGAAACAGCACAACACCAGCACCGTTTAAATCTCTGAACGATGTGAACGGTGATTCAGAGGTCTGGAACCAGGCTATTAATCTTGACACAGAGTGATACGATTGAAATGAATAAATAAATAAACTCTGAAAAGATTCACAAAAACTATAGGCTTAATAGTTGGAATTTGGTCTCCTAACCTCAGTATTTCTAAAGTCCTGGCTACGCCCCTAAATTGTATCAACTGACTCAATTAATCAATATTATACTGGTTGTCTGTTGGAATTTGTGCCTTTAGTTAGTAGGAAAGAGGGGATGACATGCAACAAAGATCTTCTGTCAAATTCCGAACTGAATACAAACTTTTTTAGACCCCCACAGCCACCTGCACACTCCTATTCTGATGGAACATATTAACTGTTCCACATAGTTTAAAAAAAAACTCAAATTAAAAACTTGTAATTCAGTAAATAAGGAACTGAAGAAAGAGATTAATAATTAATGGAAATCCACAAGATTCATTTAATGAAATTATATGATGAAAATATGTTGTTTCCATTGTTATTACAAAATGTGGTAATCAGCCTGAAAAATATAATTTTCAACGCTCTGTGTGTGTGTGTGTGT